TTGTTCTATCTATACTGACTGGCACATTACAACAATATTTCTTTTTTTTTCTTTAAAAGAGAGTACCTCAATGGTTCAAAAACACTTTGTCATGCTAAGGTTGTGATATCTTTCCCCTTCTCGCTCTCTCCTGCAGCTGTTACCACAAGTGTTGAGAGGGACTGCAGCAAAGGTTTATTAGTGTGACTACTGGAATAAGAAAGCCCTCTGCAGTAGAAGAGCACAAGCTCACCTTCTGCAGCTGGAAGAGTGAGATGAGGATCCTGAGATACTGATGTGGCCTGAAGAAGGGTCACCAGATCCAAAATGTTAACTTTGCTTTCTCTCTCTCCACAGATGCTGCCAGATCTGCTGAGTTTTTATCTAGCAATTTGTTTTTTTTTTTATTGATTTCCAGCATCAGCTGTTCTTTGTTTTGTGTTGAGGTCTGTCTCTGTGGTCTTTTCAGACCATCAGTCATAATCTATTTCAAGATAGGATACTTCAAGCAAATTTCAAAATTGCCATGCCAAATTGTCCATAGTGTCCAGGGATGTGCAGGCTAAGTGGATTTGCATGGGAAATATAGGGATAGGGGTGGGGGTGGGGTTGAGTCAGGATTGGATGCTCTTTGGGTTGGTATGGACTTGATAGGCTGAATGGTATGTTTCCACACTGTAGGGACTCTATCATAGAAACAAGAAATAGATCATTCAGTCCTTCATGTCTGCTCTGCCAATCAATAGGATTGTGAATGATCTGATTGTAACCTCAAATCCACATTCCTGCCTATCCTTAGCAAGAATCTATTTACTTAGTATTCAAGGACACTCTTCATGGAAAGATGGTGGAAGTAATGTTCCCAAAGATTTATGACCCACAAAGAATTGGTCCAATGAGTAAGTGATCACCCATTTAAAATAAACATTGACACCTAGCTCTTGATTCTCCCAAAATGGGAGACATTCTTGTAACATCCACCCAGTCAATGCCCTCCAGATCCAAAATGAAATCATGATCTAAATATTTTGAGTTTCTTTTTGAGGCATGGTGTTGACTACGATTGAGATTGTTCACCTTTCTGCCGTTGCTCCATAGCCCTTGAGATCCTCTAGTCTGCACAATTTTCCCATATCCATCTGGAAAATTTTCATTTATCAATCAGTCTCCTTGGGAATTTTTTATCAAGTTGCCTCCTACTTTTTTCTAAACTTTAGTGGATAGAAGCCAAGAAGGGTCTAGGCCTGAAACGTCAGCCTTCCTGCTCCTCTGATGCTGTTTGGCCTGCTGTGTTCATCCAGCTCTACACCTTGTTATCTTGGATAGAAGCCTAGCCTGTCCCAAATTTTCTCAAAGACTCATTTATTCCAGGTTGTCAAGACAAACTAGGTAATTTTGACTTTGTGGTTTGTGTGGTGATATTAAGGGTTATATGTGGGCTGCTGGGGAGAATTTCCTTGCACTTCAGAATGATGCTGAGGTTTGTTTTGCATCCAGGCCTCTGTTTAATGTCACATCCAAAAGTGGGCATTTTTGTCCTTCCTTTTTTTTTTAAATTAAAAGTAGAGAGAGAGGTACTGAGCCACTTGGGTAAACAGTTTGTAAGGCATTAGGTTTTTATAAGTTGGAATAGGTGGAGAAAGCTCCCACAGGATTTTGTTTTAGTTCTTTTAGTGGCTGTCACCTGAGTTTTCCCTGATATCTTTTCCTCCTGCTGCTGGAGTTGCATGCATGAGAGAATCCATTTTTCTGAAGTTGCCTTTGTCAAGAGTATGTTTACGGGATGTTGCTATATTGAAACAGTAACTGTTTCAAAGTCAAGTAATCTATTATTGTAAGGTTTCCAATCGAGTTAAATTATTCCAATTTCTTCCTTTCTAGTGTATGAGTAACGTGTGTTTTGCTTCAGATCTGGCAGTTTGATCAATCAAATTGCATCTAGAATGAAATGCCTGACTCTTGCCTTTTAAAATAAGAAAAAGTTGGGGTCTAGACCGTTGTCTTAACATATTTTGGGGTCTGGTCTTGTCTATAAATGTAGCTCTGAGGGAGCAATTGCCTATCTTTTGTTTTTGTGCACAGGTCTTTGGAGTGGGACCTGAGTCTCTCGTTTTTGAGGGGAGACTACTACCCATTGAACCAAGCTGACACCAAGCAGGTGATGTTATATGCTATTCTACTCCTGGTAGGCTCCATGCAAATACTGCACTTGCTATGTCCCTCTTCTGGGGCTCTGGAGCAACATTTGTCATGCGTAGGAACTAATCAATCAATTACCACGGAGCTCTGCTTTTTACCTTTTTTGTTTTGCACCATCATCTGCCAAAAAAAAAGCATGATAAAGGCTTTTTAATGAATTAAACAACATTGTTGTAGCTCTGTGATACTGAGTCATCCTCATTATAATTCATTCTTGTGGGTGTTAAGTGATGGGAACTCATTTTTACTTTTAAAAGTAAACAATTCTACTCTCTTTCAGTAATTGTCACTTCTGAAACACTTTGTTTTGAAATTTTCACAAGGGACCATCAATTCTAGTTTTTTTTCCCGAAAGGATTGTAAATTACTTGGCAACAAGGAAATTTGCTGGAAAAGCTCAGCAGGTCTGACAGCATCTGTGTAGAGAAATCAGATAATGTTCTGGATCCAGTGACCCTTCAGAACTGGAAAAAATCTTGGCTTTTTCAGTTAATTGGTACATGATAACTGCCAAATTTCTCACTCGATTTGGTGACTGTCTTGTTGCAGAATGGTGTGTGAAAACGGAGGTCAGTCAGATCTCTTGGTTTGAGCTTTTGTATGGAATCTGCAATCAGTGTGAGGCTTATCTTCACAGATCCTAAATATTGAATAGTTGTTTTTGTCCCTTTGGCATGAAGATTGCAGCTTTCTTTTCTCAGGCATCTTGTTGATATGATGGATGAAAGTAAAATGTTTGTTGCTACTTTGCCTATTTAGCCAGATAGTGGGTTTTTTTTCCCCCTCTTGAACATGATGCAGCTAATGCTCTAAGTTTGAGCAGTGGTGTATAATTACCTTGTTTCATGATGGATTTTGTAAATCGAGTGATTTGGCCCCGTGAGATTGTTGTCATTCAGTTTGACTATGGCAGCTCTGTCTTGTTAATTTTTACAACAATCTAATTTTATGATGTGTTTTAGAAATAGAACCTTTTTTAGTTCTGGAATTGAAATTTAAAATGCAATATGAGTGAAAACTCTATTTTGAGACAAAAAAGAGTGGTCTATCTTTTAATAAGATCAAAATTGGAAGTTAACAAGCACAAAGCAGAAGTTCCTTCTGGAAGTGGTAAATCTATAGTTGTATCAAGGATTTTTAAATCATTTGCAATATCTTCCTGTAATAAATGGAAGGTTAATGGTAATTTCTCTCTTGGTGGGCCAAGTTGCCATGGGGTAGATTGTAGCAAGGAATTTTCTTTTTGTTTTGGGTTTGAGCTGGGTGGTTTCTGAGGAAGTCAGGTCTTTTTTTTTTTACTGACTTCTGGATCAATAGAAATTAAGGCTGCTTTTTTGATTTTGGAATCACCTAATGGATAGGGGTCGGTCTCTCTCACTGAGTTAGGGAATGCACAGTTGAGGTGTTTGGAGGGTTATCCAGCTGATTTTGCTTCCCCATCCAGAGTAAATGCTCCACAAACAGGGTTGCAGGAAGGCTGAGACTGAAAGTAAAATCTCAAGCTATGACAACTTAGTTTGGTCACTGGAGAAATGAAGGAAATCTCAAGTTCCTATATAGAACTCTTAAGTGAAAATAAAAGTACAATGGGAGTATTTGAGATTTTAAGTGCTTGCAAAATTGAAGTGTTAAGTTAGTCCTTGCTTTGATTTACACTTTGTGAAAGGTTTTGTTTGAAACATGAGATCCTGTGATCCAATTATTAACAAGGTCTGAATTTCTTTTTTCAAGGCACTTGTGTTCACTGAAATAAAGGTTGTTCATCTTTCTGCCATTGCTCCCTAGCCCCTGAAGACCTCTTTCCCACAAAATTTGTCCATGTCCACTTGGGAAAATATTCACTGATCCATCAGTGTCTCCTTTTGGGGAATTCAGTGTTCTCTTATCCTTTTTTAGATTTTAATCCATAAAATCCCTACAGTGTGGAAACAGGCCCTTCGGCCCAACAAGTCCACGCTGACACTCGGAGCATCCCGCCCAGACCCATCCCCCTAATCTACAACCCTTGAACACTATGGGCAATTTAGCCAGCTAATCCACACATCTTTGGACTGTGGGAGGAAACCCACGCAGACACAAGGAGAACGTGCAAACTCCACACAGACAGTTGCCCGAGAGGGAATTGAACCCCGGCCCCTGGTGCTGTGAGGCAGCAGTGCGAACCACTGAGCCACCCCACCAGATTAAGGTGGGAGGAATGAATTGTTCTCCAATTTCATTCCTAAAATCGCCTAGTTCTACTTCTATTTATTTTCCAACCCCCAGTTTTTTGACTGGACGTGAGAAAATAGTTTGTTTATCTACCTTAATGAATCACACTTTATCATAAGTAAATTGCCCCTAAATCTTTTGTACCAGGAGTATAAGGCCAATCAATGCAACCTTGCCTTACAATTTAACCCTTTTCATATGGTCTTAGAGGTCCGCAGCACAAATAAAGGCCCTTCAGTCTTTCAGGTCTACACTAGTTGTTCTCCACCACCTGACTATTGTAATCCCATTTTCCAACACTTGATCGATCTGCCCCAGTGTGAATCCATGCTACCCTTCTTGAAATATGGTGCCCAGAATTGTCTGAACTCCGTTACTCAAGCTTGGTACCTAACTAAGGATCTGTGCAAGCTAAAGCGAGACATCCTCCCCTTACAGAGCATGAGTGCCTTGTCACACAACATAGTTGCCAGGTGGAACTTTCAGACCAGTAGCCCATGGTAGATGTGTTCAGAACGGGTTGAACCTTCTTTTTGAAACTCTCCATTCTTTTCACTACTATTGCCATCTCGGATGTCCTCAAATTAACATGTCTGTGTGGTTTATTCCAGGTGTGAGCGTGGCTATTCATGGGGTTGAAAACTCTGTTCAGGTTCATCGGAGAACTGTGCCCGTCTATCGAAGATCTGCTCAGATGTCTGGGGCGAGCCATCCTTCACTTCCTCCTGTCACCAAGTCAGTGACTGTGGACTGCTCCTCTTCAGGATCCATTGAATCTGCTGTTGTCAATGGGAAATACCCTTATCCAGGTTAGTGATCTGGTACTCTTCTTCTGCTCATGTGTTGGTTTTCCATTTGTTAATGATAGAATTTAGCCAGTACTTTACTGAATCATCGTTCCAAGCTAATTGAGTTTTTACTTCTTAATGGCTGTTTTCTGCTGAGTGCAGGTGATGTATTCCCCCACGTTCATTTCTGGTGCCTGCAATGTCATTGCTTTCCACCAAAGACTTTGCAGTAATAACTTGTGGGGACAACCATTCACTCTGGCAAAGCTGTATTGCTAAAGACTTCGAGGCTCACTTCCTCCATTATTCTCCACTTGTTACATCGCTGTAGGAATCACTAAGCAATTACGCATTTGTGGGAGCTGTGTGTTGTGAATGACATGCATTTGAAGGTCAGTAAGTGCTGCTGAGGAGAATGGTTCAGAGCAGCCAGTGGATGTCTAAGTGGGGTAGCAAGGAGAATGGTGAGGACAATAGGATGGGAAAGGGATTAAATTACAGGGCGGAGTGGCCAATTGGCTGAGAAGAGGGAGGAAGGAAGCCATAGTAGCTGGTAAGTGTATGATTCTGGTGTGGGTGCACAATGATGGTGTCAGTGGAAGTGCTGTTCAGTTTCAAGGTGGTGGCCCCCCCCCCCCCCAGGAAATGTAACCTCGACATCTCGGTTACTACCTGGCTGTTGATCTGTATAGTACCTGTATCAAACATCAGCTGTTAATGCAGTTTGTGAGCTGTGGTGATTGCTTGCATCTCCTGAAGTCTTTCTGTAATTTAATTGATCGCTTTATTTTGTGGTACGCATAGATGACAATACAGAAGCTGCATTGCATTTTCATCGAGACAAGCAATTATTATGCTGTCATCATTTTGAAATCATAGGCTTAACAATACAGGACTGTACTGTATTGTGAAATAACTTGGCAACCTCCTGGTTATTGAAAAATCATGTTTTGTTGAATCTTTTCATCTTGCACTCCGGAACAATTTGTAAGAATTCAGCATGGGTTTCAGACAACCTGAAGAAATGTCTTCCTCTTTATATTGGTATTCCTTGCAAATACTCCTGACTAGTCCCCCTTGAAATGTTATAACAAAATGTTTGTTTTTTTTCAATACTGCACAAGTTCTGTATTATCAAAGGACTACTTCCTTTATGGTTCTTAACAGTTTGCAGGTTTTTTGTTTTTGTTTTCTTGATGTGAACCTATAAATAGCTGCTATGAAGGAGATGGCCTAATGGTCTTATTGCTAGACTATTAATCCAGAGAATCTGGTAACTGTGTGGGGACCTGGGTTCAAATTCTGCTATGGCAGATGGTGGAATTAGAATGCAGTAAAAATCTGGAATAAAGAGTTGAATGATAATCATGGAACCAACGTTAATTTTCAGAAATGACATGGCGGTGCCGGTGTTGGACTGGGGTGAACAACTTCAGAAGTCACATGACAAGACGTTATAGTCCAACAGGTTTATTTGAAATCACAGGTTTCCAAAGTGCTGCTCCTTCGTCCCTTCACCTGGTGTGTTTTAGAGAGGGAAAAGTCTTTGCCTGATGTGGCCCATGTGAGTCCAAACACACAGCAATGTGGTTGACTCATAACTGCCCTCTGGCAATAAATGCTGGCCTAGCCAGAGATGCCCACTTCCTGTGAATGAATCAATGGAAAACAGAAAAATATAATATGCACTTCTAAAACATTTTTAAAATTTTCTTGGCAAGTGGGTATTACTGCCAGCCTTCTGCCCATCCTTAATTTCTCTGGAAACTGAATAGCTTGCTTGGCCATTTCAGAGGGCAATTCCTGCTAACAACCTTGCTGTGGATTTGGAGTCGAAGGAAATCTGTCATCCTTCCCCTTAGAACATTATTGAACCAGATGGGATTTTACAATCCTTTCTAGTTGTCATTGTCACCAATATTAGAGATTGGCTCTATATTCCAGATTAATTGATTTTTAATTTTTAAGATACACCAGCAGTTGTGGTGGGATTTGCACCTGCATCCCCAGACCATTGACCTAAACGTCTGGATTACTGGTCAAGTGATAACATCATAACTGTCTGCCCACAAAAAGGCATCTGCCAGACTGAATATTTTACCCAGGTGTCTGTCCCTTTTTAAGAGCTTTGCACCTTGCACTTTGAGTCGTGGACGTTTTGCAGCACCAAATCAGGCCATTTGGCCTGTTTTTTCCATGCTGGTCACCGAAGAATTAATGTCCTTAGATCTATCTTAGCCCATGACCCTGGATGAACTCAGTGCTGCTAGCCAATGACCATCAAAGGAAACAGGACAAAAGGATTTCAATCCCCTACCAATAATCCCAAAGTAAACTCTTCATCTATCAACACTCCTCCTTCTACCCTTCCCACCCAGAGATACTGCTCCATATATACTCTCTCTTTTTGGATGTGCTGTTGTTTAATTCCTAATCCTTGTCTGTGTTCTCTCTGGCTCTCTCTTGCACTTTTTTTCCCCTCCCTGGCTCTCTCGTGCTCTCTCCACGTCGTCCTCTTGTTAAATTAGCTCATGGTTTTCCTCAAGTTGTGATCAAGGAATTAGTCAGGAGTACAGATTAATCTCCACTTGACCAGACGAGTGTCACATCAACAATGCTCAAGACACTTGACAACATTCAGGTCAAAATAGTCCATTTGAGTGTCACTCTGTCAACCAACATCACTCTCTCCTCCACTAATGGAGAGTACCAACAGTGTGTACGATCTAAAATGATGCTAGAGTCACCAGGAGTTCTACGTCCTGTGGTCTCAGCATAGATTTTGGCACCTTCTCTCTCTGGAATCGGTTAAACCATCTTTTGTATTTTCATTATTCACACTATAGTTAGATATCTAAAACATAAGAATATAATACAGAACTTGTCCAGACATCTTGGGGGGAAAAATGTCTTTTGGGATCACTTGGGTTATTTCTATCTCCCTACACATTCAATATCAGTAACTTCTTTTTAAACATTTCAATTTATGTTGAATTATTCATCATGTATTATCTAGTTATTTAAACACCAGTGAACAGTTCAAAAAGTACTTCTAAAAGCTAATGGGATGTTGGCCCTTCTTCCCAAGGGCAGGAACACAAGTGTGGAAGTTGTTGAATTGATTTAAAATTCTTGCCAGACCCCATTTGCAGTAATGGCTACAGTTCTGGGGAAGGCCTGTTGGAGTTGTGATAATGTCAATGCTATGAGTACAAGTTGCATGTTCTATGCTGACTGAATGTGGAAGATTTAAACGGTGATCTTATCAAGGTATTTAAGAGAATTGAAAGGAAAAAAAATTGCCCTGTGCTTTGTGTTCAATGGCTTAATTGATTTTGTGTTGGATTATGTTAGTCTGTTGACTGATCTTTGCTCACTTTACCTGATTGCTGAAGCCTGTGTGTGAAGTTGGATCTTCTCTGATACTAGAGAATGTGCTGGAATCTATGCTAAGGGCATGTATGTAGACCTCCCATGACTGATATTTTAAAACACTGTAAACAAACTTGTCAATTTAGAAAGCATTATTTTTGCATTGATCAGGGATAAATCCAGTGTGTAGCAAACTGGCAAATATGTAATGGTTTGGTAGTATGGGATAAGGTGGGGTAACTTTAAAATTAGCACCAAGTCACTTAAGGGTGATGTAAGGAAGCACTATTTCACGCAAAGGATGGGGAAAAGTCCTTTCCTTGCCCTTCCACCCCCCCCCCCCCCACAAAGAAATGGAGACTTGCAATCAATCAAGGAGAAATCAAAAAGCAGTTTTTAAAAATTTTTTTAAAAAGAGAAATTTACAGGGCAAAGAACTAAGAGGGTTAAGTGCAGTGCAGATCAGCTAAGATCTTCATTAGAAGAACAGGCTTTTGGGGCTAAATCACCTCCTCCTACTTCTCCTCAACATGCAACCTTCAAACTCCAAAGACTGAGGGGGAAAAAAATGCCAGAAATTACAAAGAAAGGAAGAATGAAAAGGAATTATAGCATCATGGGACAATTAATATCAAAAGGAATTTTTAAAAATTTGATTCCTGAAGTGTATCGTCGGTTGGACAATATTTTTGTAGTGTCTTTTGCAATTAGCTCTTGAGCACAAGTGTGTGACTTGGAAACACTGTTCAGGAAATGGAAATTTGTAAAGGGCATAAATCACTAATGTGGCCTAACATCATGGCACCTCTCTCGTTGCTTCTAGGCCTGACTAGTGCGATTCTCTCCTGATCAGCCACCCCTTTTTCCATAAACCTAATGTCATTTGAATGTGGGAAGAAACTTGCAAAAGTAATCACGATTAATATACCCATCTTGTGTTAGCAGAAAGACAATAATGTCATCCCCTGAAAGTCAAAAGTTGTTGATGTTGTCCTGATCTTGGTTGCGTGTAGGGACAGACTGTTCCAGTGTGTGAGGATTTGTAAATGATAGGGAATGTTTTGTGATTGTCAGTGAATATCCCACCTCTGACCTTGGGCTTGAACTGATGAATGGGAATTAGCATTCCTGCCACAGGGTTCAGACAATGAACATTTTTAGCAAAAGAATCTAACCATCACCCCTTGACACTTAATGGCTAGGGAGTTACTATTCACCAGAAAGTAGAAACCAAACTGGACTAGCCACATTTTGGTGGGGATTGGCAGTGGAGCTCTCTACAATAGCAGGTCAGAGACCAGGAATTTGTTTTCCCCTGTGCCTGTCTACAAGGCACATTCGCTCTCTTGCGCGTGCTCTCTCTTTCTTCCCCCCCCCCCGATGAGTACAGCTCTAAAAGCACTCCATCAACATTTTGTGGAACAAATAGCTGCCTTGATTGCCCATACTCCTTTTTTAAACACTTAGTTTTTGACTGGAAAAAAAAAAGAAATTGCTGGAAAAACATAGCAGGTCTGGCAGCATTTGGGGAGAGAAATCAAAGTTAACGTTTCAGTCCAGTGACACCTCTTCCACCACCCCCCCCCCCCCCCCCCAAGAAGAACATTCACTCCTCTGTCAGTGATGCTTGATGCACAGATGCAGCAATG